TGTATAATAATAAATAGTATAACAGTGTAATGTTTAACATAATTCATAAGGCAATATATAGTATCGTAATTGTATAGTGAATATACAGCGGTGTGGTATACAGTAGGGTTGGTAGAATAATACATAGTGTAATATTACAAGTCTAATATTTTTATAGTCTAAAGTATAGGGTAGTGTATAGTAACGAATTGTATAATTCAATGTTTGGGTTTGTCTATGGCAGTGTATATTACGGTGTATAGTCGTGTAATGTAGAAAAAAGTTTAGTTGGAGGCATATCAATATAATGCGTAATATAATGCATATTCTCGGATCTTGCTGTGGCTTTCACACCTGATGATGATTGCTTGTGTTGCAGTCGAAACGTCGTGAGAATTTTATTGTTTTATATTTTTTTATTTTATTGTTTCCCTTCTACGTGACTTTACCGAAAGAACAAAGAATATGAATCCCTGCAGTCACGAAAGCTTTAAATAAAAAAAATGCATGTTAGAGCTTACATTGGGCTGTGTAGACGATATTATACAATGTAGTTTAGATTGGAGGGTATAATATTGTAATGTATAGTGGTCTAGTTTATAGCATAGTTGTAACGCAACACAGGACAGAGCAGCGCATCGTGGCTGTTTCTCTCTCTCTCCCCCTCCTCCATTCCGAGCATAGATGGACTCGTCCGTCTGAACAAAGCTCGTCGCTTTCCGTGGTGCTAACGTTGAGAAAAAAGTAAAAAAGAAACCGCCACTTTTTTCGACGTAGAATTGTAATGTATAATGACTTATTGTTAGTAGCTCAGCTTATTGGAGAGTATATTGAGTTTATTTATAATATTGATGTAGTTTATATTTTCGTTTTTTATCAGTTTACTATATGGTATTCATTATATAGTGTAGTGTATACCCAGTTACTTTATGTTAATAGCTCAGCTTATTGGAGAATATATTGAGTACATTGATTATATTGATGTAGTTTATATTTAGATCTTTCACATCAGTTTATTGTATCATAGTTGGGTAGTTGCAGTTATTTGGCGTCAATATACTAAATGCCTCTGTTGATATGTAAACTCTGACTTTAACATAGCTGCTTCCGTGACCAGTTACATGCTAATCCCTCACACTAACATCATGCTAATCTCCCAGTTACATGCCAATTTCTGACTTTAACATCCTGCTAATCTATCACATTAACACAGCTACTTCAATGCTAAATTATTCTGTTGATATGTAAACTCCTTTGTCAAGGCGCTCTGCTCCTCCCAGTGCTGTCTTTCCGACAGTTCTGTTTCTTCACGTGAGGACGGCTGCTTGTGTTGTGGCCGAAACGTCGTGAGAATTTTATTGTTTTATTTTTATTATTTTATTATTTCCCTTCTACGTGACTTTACCGAGAGAACCAAGAAGAGGAGTTCATGGGTTCGGTCCCGACCCTGACGCCTGCTGTTTATTTGACGCATCGCCTCACGTGATTTTCTGATCGGGAGTTGCGAATTGTGGGAAGATAAAAAAAAAATTATTGCGATTTTCTTTTTTATACCGGGCACCATTGGTGTACCGCCAATACGTTCACATGCAGAACGTGGTTTAGCAGCTTGTGCTGTGCGCAGCACTGTGTGGCTCACATCCCGACGGTGTCCCCATGTCCCCATGTCCCCCCGTCCTGCCCTGTCTCTGCAGACGAGCTCGACCTGAAGGACGCCCTCCAGATACGTAAGTGGGAGGGATGCAACACCGCCAGCAGTACCTTCTCACGACTCACGAGACCAAACCCACACGTATTTCGCATTTAGCCGAGCTGTAGTTTACAGTGATAAATCCACACTAATGGGTTTTTTTGGGGTTAGATTGCTTAACACAGCCAATATGTAAGGTTTGTCACGTAAAGAAAACGTCCCAATTAGTTACTAATTTAGCACACCGGTGTGTTGAAGAGTAAACCCACGACATTTGCAATTCGAGAACCGTGACATTTTGCCGGTACTGCGATGAAGTTCAACACGATAACCAGCACCAAATCTCACTGCGTGCGCGCGTGTGCATGCGTATGTGTGTGTGTCTCTCTCCGTCCTTGTGTGCGTGTCAATCTCCGTGCATACATCCCTCTGTGGATGCCCGTGTGTGGTCGCGTGGATTATTCTCCGGGTCCTCCGAGTTTTCCCCTCCACATTTAAAATCAATGTGTGTTTAAAATATTTAGCTGTTATACATTTCCACATTATAAATCCACTTCGTTGAGCTATCATTTGTGATGGTCGGGTCGCTTCAGAAGAAGAGCTACATAGCTCAGTTGGCCTTACCTGGTAAAATAAACAGTTTAGTTTACACTGCGTGTGTGATTTTTTTTGCCTATGGGAGGAAAACCAGAGAACCCAGAGGACCCCCGTGTAGACTCCGCCCGAGTCGGGAATCGAACCCAAGATCCTTCATGCTATGAGGCGTGTTACCACTTGCACCACCGGACTGATAGAGGATACACGAAGATTATGATCCTGATCACAAAGGGAGTAGCAGGGGCTCACCTCGAAGTCCGTGTTGTGACTTAAAAGAGAAATTGACCTCGATGCAACTGTGATGTTTTTCGACACACGCCCCTCTTGTCCATCAAAGTTCCAAGGCTTACACTCCACCTGGAAGGCCTCTTTGATTCGCTCCATAATGCAAAAAAACTTCGGTTTAACACGTAGTCGGCTTTCGCTACCAATATCCATAATAGAGGTTATTTGTTTGGTCTTCGTACCTGATTGGCTCACAAGTGATGACATCACATTTACCCCCCTCTGTCTAAGACCGAAACAGGAGGAGGATTTCTCCACAATTCTGTTTGTCGACTGATGAGGCTGTTTGTTGTAATTACCGGTGAAACGTTACGGTACTCGAATTGTGAATGTTGTGGTTTTACTCTCCCAACACACAACAGGTGAGTGCTGAACCAGTAAACTTATTGGCCACGTTTTTTTTTTACCTGACAAACCTTACTGATTGGCTGTGTCGGGTGGTGGTGGGTTTAACGACACATCTATATTTATGCGATCTAACCCAAAATAAGCACTACCGCTTGAAGCAAGGGCTGCTTTGACTGCGGAAACATGTGGGAGGCACTGGGAGCCAGCGTCTTTTCGAGCCATTGGGGCCTTCTCCCGGCTTCCCTGCTCTTCAGATCACCCGGTGCTTCGGCTAACGCACAAAAAACACAATGGCAGTGTTGATCTACCCGCGTGGAATGAAATGCGATTGCCCTCAAAGTGGAGGGGGGGGGGGGGTACCCTTCACTGAACATTCACCCTTTACGGTACGATTCGGATATTCCAGAGTGTGTCAACGGGCATCTCATCAAGACAATGTACAAACGGGGGGTGGGGGTGCGGAATTGGGGGGGGGGGGGGGAGAGACAGACGTTTTATTTTACTATTTTCGCAAGACAAGGTGGGGGGAGTGAAGTCTCGCAGGCCGGAGGGCAGAAGAGGCAACGGTGGAGGCAGTGTGATGAGGATGACGACATAGGGCGTCACGGTGGCTAGGAGATGTTAACTACCTCGCCTAGTATACAGGTCATGGGTTTGATCCCCACCCTGACATGGGTATATTTGGAGTTTGCGTGTCTCTCCCCGTGGTCCTGTGGATTTTTCTCCAGATCATGCGGGTTTTCCCTCCACATTTAGAAACACACATTTGGAATATGTGGCTGCTGCTACACATTTCCACGTGAAAAGCCACTTCGTTGAGCTATCATTTGTGACGGCCAAGTCGCGTCTGAAAAAGAGCTATATACAGGCACTCCTTCACATACGCGATAGATGCGTTCCTGGAAAAAAACGCGCGGATGTCAAACGCTATTTTCCAAAAAGAAATAATGGTAAACGAGGGGGTTAGGGGATTTCCTTCACACTCGCAGACATAATCGCCTATATTATCCTAGCCTATATCAATGCATTACATGTACACCCAATATAATACTCGGTCCTTAATTCTTAGCGGTCGTCCATAAATGACGCCACGCGATTTTGTCACACGGCGTCACAAAAAGTCAGACCCCCCCCCCTCAAATATGACGTCACAAAGCTCTGCCCCCCCCCAAAAAAATGCTTCAAATCGCTTTAAACTATTGTCATTGTAGTGCGTATTTAATGAGGCGCTGCACTCTGATGTTGTAGGAGAAAACATTTATTAAAAAGTATATTTAATTAAGTAGAACGTGTTGTCTATATTTATTTAAAGTTGCGCATTTTGATGTGACGTCACATTTCTCAACTCCCCCCCCCCATCGTCACACTCATCACAAATGTCTGACACCCCCCCCCCCCAGGTGCATGACGTCATTAATGGACGGCCCCCACCTGTGTTCTCTTGCTACAGTGCCCTCTCATTCATTATACCATCACCACCCCTTCCTCTCCGGATCTTAGACATCTGATCACCTGTGTTCTTGATGATCCCTTCACACGAGTTATCGTGACGCGCTGGCTGCCGGCAACGCCATTGGGTCGCGGTGCCAGGCTAGGGTGGGGCGTACGGCGCGTTGCGGATGATGTCATTCCGAAAATGGCCTCGCGTATGTCAATAAATGGTCAATACAAATCGCGCGTTATTTCTAAATGGCGTACGACAAAAGCACGTAAACCGAGGATTGCCTGCATAGTAGTGGGGCCTTACCTAGTAGAGGAGAATAAAAACTGTTTAGTTTACGTTGCCCAATCAGCGCGGCTAAAGACGCTTCACAGTGGCGGGTACACACCGGTGGGTAGCCTTGTGAAGTTGGTGAGGGCCTCGTGGGTTGTGGTCCGTGGGAGTGTGAGGGGAGAGACTGTGCTCATGGCCCGGTTGTGGGTGGGTGGGTGTGGGTAGGGGGTGGGTGAGTGTGGATAGTGGGTGGGTGTGTTTGGGTAGGGGGTGGGAGGATCTGGGTAAGGGGTGGATGTGGGTAGGAGGTGGGGTGTGGATAGGAAGTGGGCAGTAGGGGGTTGGTGTGGGTAGGGGGCGGAGGGTGGTAGGGGTGGTGGTGGCGTTTTAGTTGAATGCAGGGTTGGGGGTGCCCCCGGCAGGCCGCCGAGCGAGGAGGGGGCGCCGCACGCGCACCAGGAGGAAGGCGGCGAGCAGGATGAGGCCAAGGCAGAGGACCCCCACGAAGAGCAGCGCGCCCAGCAGGCCCCCTGCGAGCCCGTCGAGCGCGGGGCCCCCCAAGGTGTGGCGGTCTCCTGCTGCTCATGCACGGGCATCCACAGAGGGATGTATGCACGAAGATTGACACGCACACAAGGACGGAGAGAGACACACACACGTACGCATGCACACGCGCGCACGCAGTGAGATTTGGTGCTGGTTATCGTGTTGAACTTCATCGCAGCACCGGCAAAATGTCACGGTTCTCGAATTGCAAATGTCGTGGGTTTACGCTTCAACACTCCGGTGTGCTAAATTAGTAACTAATTGGGACGTTTTCTTTACGTGACAAACCTTACAAATTGGCTGTGTTTAGGCAATCTAACCCCAAAAAAACCCTTTAGTGTGGATTTATCACTGTAAACTACAGCTCGGCTAAATGCGAAATACGTGTGGGTTTGGTCTCGTGAGTCGTGAGAAGGTACTCCTGGCGGTGTTGCATCCCTCCCACTTACGTATCTGGAGGGCGTCCTTCAGGTCGAGCTCGTCTGCAGAGACAGGGCAGGACGGGGGGACATGGGGACATGGGGACACCGTCGGGATGTGAGCCACACAGTGCTGCGCACAGCACAAGCTGCTAAACCACGTTCTGCATGTGAACGTATTGGCGGTACACCAATGGTGCCCGGTATAAAAAAGAAAATCGCAATATTTTTTTTTATTTTCCCACAATTCGCAACTCCCGATCAGAAAATCACGTGAGGCGATGCGTCAAACTCAGTTATTGTGTCTTAGCAGTCAGAAGACGAATGTTACGAGCGGCTGAACACGAAGCTTCACAGTTTGTTGCCGTATAGCTGCACCCGGGCTGATGACGATTGGTTGCTCCGTGTCCCAAAGGCAGATTCGACTCCTCGTGCCCTAGACTTGGTCGAACGGTTCCTCGATTCAACGGACCCAAATCTACGGTCAATGTTGACCATTTTTAGAAAGTCTCAGTCGACTGAATAATCCTTCAAATCGCGTGACACTTGGCGGCAGGGTCAATTTAAGACTAATAAATAGATTTGCTGATTTAGATTTTAGACTGTTTTATGAGGACCGGTGTGTTACTATGCACCGGTGTACCACCAATACGTCCACTTAATAAAATGGTCTTTTCCCCATTCTTTTTTTTACAACTGCGCTGTCAGTATCATGGCACGAGATGTAAGTGTCAATTTAAAAACTATTGTGGTTTGGTGGAGAACGACCCGCGGAATGAGATGTCACAGAACTACCTCCGAGCGCATTGAGAGGTCCATGACCATTGCCATCTTTTAGACAAATATGCAGGCTTTTTCTTTTTTTTTCTTTCTATATTGTTATGGCAGGATTCGTATCGACATCATAGGAAGGAAACTTAAGTTTGTCCACTTGTGAGTTAGTCTGTCAGTGACGGCATCTGAGTTTACATTCCCGTTGTACTGGGTCAACTTAGTGCTCATTTGTGACTGCAAGGAACTGGGGGGGGGGGGGGGGGGGGGTATGGCATTGATTATGATCCATGGCATGGGGGAAAAAGAACTCAAATGGAATTGGCCAAATATCCAAAAATAGGACCACAGAACTTGGGCAATGGTTGGTAGTGCCAGTTCTCAGAATCTGAATATGTATTTATACTGGAGGAATCTGATAAGCTATGAAGCTGTTTTTCACAGATGTCCAGCAGCTAAACTAAAAAGACTAGTTTTTATTTTACCAGGTAAAGCCCACTATGATCCATCATGGATGTAACCAGACTGGATTGTGTGAACAGCGAACAGCTCACAGATCCTTGAACTATCAGTGACAACGGAGGGCGGAGGAGTGGTGCTCACAATAACGAGCGGAGCGCCAGGCGGCTAAAATGTAGCAAGGTGGCATAGTCAGGAGCATAGATAGAAGATCTGCCAGTGATCTCAGTCTACAGTTTAGACTCTAATCCCTAATAACAACTAAAAACGAAACAATTTTTCTATTTTACCACTGAGCTATACCGCTTTTTCAGAAGCGACCTAGTCACAAATGATAGCAAAATGAAGTGGCTCATCATGTGGAGATTTATAGTGGCGAAATACTCTAAACACATGTTTCTAAATGTGGAGGGAAAAACCAGAGGACCCTGAGAAAAATCCATGTGACCATGGGGAGAACATGCAAACGTCAAACATAGAGGCGTTAGAGTCACGTGGATTTTTTTTTTAATCAACATCACGCGTCTAGAGTATTTGGCTGCTCTAAATTTCCACGTGATAAGCTACTTCGTTGGGCTATCATTTGTGATAGCCAAGTCACTTTAAAAATATCAGCTACATAGCTCGGTGGGCCTTACCTGGTGGAAGTAAAAATAGTTTTAGTTTCTAGTGTGTCTATGTGCCTACGCACGCTGCACTACGGACCTGGCGACCCCGCCCAACAGCAGTGACGATTATCTGAACCGGTTCTGGGCTTCCCCTCCGTCGACTTGTGAAAAAAAATCGCCACTGGGAAGACAAAGGCGGCCCGGCGTAGTGTTGGCCACCCACCCCCTCATGTGTCGTGCCGGCCTTCACAGGTGCTACACGCTAACAGCACTTGCCCCAACAGTCCACGGGGGATCTTTGTCTTTGTTGTAAGCGGCACGTACCGTTGCGCGTCACGATGGGCCCCGCGCTCAGCGTCGCGATGTCCCTGTTGTTGCCTCCCCCCTCGGGGGGGTTCTGTGCACGCGGGGCCACCCTCCTCCAGCGCGAGCTCGGGCAGTTACTCTGCGGGAGACACGCGACACGGCACTCGCGGGCGTGTGTGTGTACATGTGTGTGCATGTCTGTGTGTCGGAACCTGTCCTGGGTCGACGCAGCCTCAAATGAGTACCTGGTACGGTGTGTAAACATCGCCACTCAGGAGACAAAGGCGGCCGGGCATGGTGCTGGAAACCCACCCCCTTCGCGTGTCGTGCCGGCCTTCATAGGTGCTCGTTAACAGCACTTCCCCAACAGTCTGTTCAGGCTAAACGGGGGATCTTTGTCCATCGTACACGTCTTTTAAGTGTGTGTGTGCATGTTTATTCCTGAGAAGAAGGTTGACCAACACCAGTGTTCCAGGAAAGTTCCTGGCAAGCTTCATCCTAACTTTGCCTTGCCAGGCACGCTGATGAGAGGCTTGCGGGGCCTCAGCATAGTTTCAGGCTGGGGCAGTCCTCTGCCTGTTTTTGTTGGGGTACCTGACCCTCTGCTCAGTTATGAAAGGGCCTTCATATGAAGATGGTGGGCAGGCCCGGGTAAAACCACGTGGCCGAGAGTCAGAGCCATTCCCTGTTCACCTTGGGGTGCGGCTGGGATGGCCTCTGGCACCTGACACTATTTAACACCATCTTTTTTGACGATCGTAGTTAACAATGATTGGCACTCATTAGGTGCCTGTCACAGTGTTTCAAGGCGCCATTACGTGGAAAGGACCAAAAACGAATCAATAAATAACCGGGGGTGGGGGAGCTGTAGACGAATGAAGGTGACGACAGAAGAGAGCGCGTTTTTGAAGAGACTTAAATAGACCAACACTGGCACAGTGATTGTCTAAGTCTCCAACGGTAGCGAGCTCCTCAACCAGGGGGGCACCAGTAGGGAGGTCACAACTGGGGGGGGGCACCAGGAGGGAGTTCCACAACTGGGGGGGGGGGCACCAGTCGGGAGTTCACAACTGAAGGAGGGGCACCAGTAGGGAGTTCACAACTGGGGGGAGCACCAGTAGGAAGTTTACAACTGGGGGGGGGGCACCAGTAGGGAGTTCAACAACTGGGAGGGGCACCAGTAGGGAGTTCACAACTGGGGGGGGGCACCAGTGGGGAGGTCACAACTGGGGGGAGCACCAGTAGGAAGTTCAACAACTGGGCGGGGGGGGGCACCAGTAGGGAGTTCACAACTGAGGGGGAGGGCACCAGTAGGGACTTCCATGATCACCACAAGAAAGCGCCATCGGCAGACCCTTGAGCGCCGTCGCAAGCGGGGCGGCTTTCGCCGTCCCGAGCCCGCGAGTGTCCTGAGGCTGGAGGCGAGAACTCTCGCGGTGGCTTTGCGTGTTCCTCACCGGCCCGAACGAGGGGCAGTCGACCTCGCGGCAGAGGCGCGTGTTGCAGTGCAGGAAGATGGTGGAGAGGTGCTGGTGCTTGTGGCGCACGAAGCGGAACACCTCGAATGAGAACTTGGACATTTGGCTGCGCGCGTTCTCGATGATCGTCGTCTGTGGGTCGCGCTTGCAGCTGCAGAGATGCGCAACGGCAAAAAAAGACCAAAAATCCCCCCGTGTAGCCTTTTAACAGACTGTTGGGGCTAAGTGCTGTTTAGCGAGTAGCACCGATGAAGGCCGACACGACAGACACGCGAGGGGGTAGGTGGCCAGCACCACGCCTATCCGCCTTTGTCTCCCTTGTGGCGATGTTTACACATCACACCTGGTACTCATTTAAGGCAGAGTCAACCTAAGGGAGGCCCAGGACCCGTTCAGACACACAAAAGACAAAAACAGACATGCACAGACATGTACAGACAAAGATCCCCCGTATAGCCTTAACAAACTGTTGGGGCAAGTGCTGTTAGCGAGCAGCACCTATGGAGGCCGGCACGACAGACACACGAGAGGGTGGGTGGCCTCGCGCCACGCCCGGTCGCTTTTGTCTCCAGGCACTCATTTGACGATGAATCGACCTTGTGAGTAGGCTCAGAGCCTGCTCACAAGGTTCGTAGCGCGGCGCGCTAACCGCTGTGCCACCACTCCCCATGTGTCTTACACAACAAACGCACAGTAAAAGAGGACAGGAAAACAAAGATGCCCTGTATAGCGTCAAACAGGAACAGGAGCCGTCGGGCATTCACTGGACAGCAGTGGGGAACATCTCCCTCCTCAGCGTGGAACATTGAGTGGAGAACAAATCTAAAATGGCTTCTTTTGTCTGCTGATATGAATCCATATGTATTGGCGTAACGCGCCCAGGGTTTGCAAACAACAGTAGCATTATGTACGGCGTTGCAGACAGTGAGGTCAGCTAAGGATAAGCAGGTGCAGGCGGGTGGCCTGGGTGACAGCAGACAGAGAGACGCCAGCAATTAGGGAAAGAGGCAGTGAGTGGCTGGCTGCAAATGCAAACGCGGAGTAGGCGCCAACGGAGGCGAGAGATTTTGGTGATAAGCGGGAGAACACGTGCGTGATGCGTGGGGAGGACGCCGGCTTAATGAGGGCCATCTGGGGGCACTTAATGAGGAGGGGGATAAAAGGGGAACGTGTGAGGCAGAGGAGTTGAGTTGGTTGGAGTGAAGAAAAGAGTGAATTCAAGAGAAGTCCGGGACTCCACTTTCCACACCTGGTCCTCTCCAGCGGTGTTGGCTGATCCCCCGCTGGAGGTACCGGCAAGGTTGGAGGAGTGAGGGTAGACAGGCTAGTAGTAGAGAGGCTAGCGGAATCCTAAGTGTGAGAAGGCTAGCAGTAGAGAAACTAGCAAAGTGTATCGTAAGCTAGCGGAATCCCAAGTGTGGGTGCGATAATGCTCGCAGCAGAGAAGCTAGCGGAGTGTATAGTGAGAGGCTGGCAGTGGAGCGAGAGAGAGCTAGCGCAGCATAGCAGACGAGCAGTACAATTGGAGGAGTTACGGTGGAGACGCGTGGCGTTGAACGCGCGGATTTCTGTACCGATAAAGTGACACAGGAGAAAAGTAGAAGTTGTCCATGTGAAATAAGACCACTACACATAAGAAAGATGAAGATTGCCATGCGGTGGTGTTGTATGTTTGGGTTATGAAAATAATAAAAATTAAATTAAATTTGAAATTGGCATAATTTATCCGAAATTCTGTTAATCTGGGTCATGCGTATAAATTATGCTAATTCGAGAGAATCGTATTAATTTATGGGAGTGGTTATGATAATGCAGGTCGTTATGATAATTAGGCCCTGCCTTGGTGATGAGGGTCGGTTATCAATCGGGATAATGCAATTAATTGTATGCAGTTATGCAGGTGCTGTGCACGTATGCCAGAGTCAACTCGGCTTCGTTGTTTAACTTCGTATCATCGATCGGTATACAGTTGTCCCTCACTATAACGCGGTTCACCTTTCGCGGCCTCGCTGTTTCGCGGATTTTTTTAGTGTAATTTTGCACGCTTTTTTTCCAGCGTACAGTATGAACGCGCATTGTGTTCGGCGTCCTGATTGGCTAAGGGAGAACCGCACATGTGTTCTGCGTCCTGATTAGCTAAGGGAGTACAGAATGCGTTCGGCTAGCCAGATTTACAAAAATGTTTGGGCTTGAAAACAGGTTTTGATCTTTGGTTTCATTTACTAATATTGTACTTATTTTTTTAAATGGCGAAAGTTTGAACTTTGAGAGTTTAAATAAGAGAATGTGAGAAAATGGTAATGCCTGTCTGAGAAAAGTGTATAAAAGTGTGTGGTTAGGGGTTTGACGGCCTTAAAACATGTATAATAATTGTAAAAAATAAAGCTGATTACTTCGCGGATTTCGTCTATTGCGGGTTATTTTTAGAACGTATCCCCCGCGATAAACGAGGGACCACTGTAACACAATTATTCTCGCTTTAGTGTGTTATGCCAGGTCTCCAAGTTCAGATCTCAACGCAGAATCAGTTCTTATGCATAATTCAGGAAAGAAACGCACAACACTTCTGCATTAATCCATTTTATTTCTAACTAAACTTTAACTCTAAAATATGTAACTCTCGGCTCGGAATTCCAACAGTATCAACACAGTATCATCAACGACTGCGTGGTTTCACTTTGATTCATTCCCCGCCGTGTAGTGCGAGCAGTTGGTGAGAGAGAGAGAGATGCTAAGAACATGCATATGCTATCCTAACAAAAACCTTAACCTTATAATATGCAAATTCGTATTTGAAAATTGCCCACACAGTACCACATCCATTCATAGATTCTTATCACGTTTCACTTTGGGTATCGGATCAATTCATTATGCAATGTAACACGAACATATGAAAAATATGAATATAGTCCTTAAAATTATGTGATGGTATTCATACGAAAAACAAACAATTATTATTCCTAAAGGCACAAATGTGCGTTAATGGATTCGTTGGCAAGATTAGGCCATTGAAAAGAAACCAAAAACGTACGACTGATTTGCTTCTAAATGACCTTATCCACGTAACTCAATGGCAGCAGTGTTTTTCACGAATCAGTTGATATTTTAATGTACCACCTTGGAATGGCAACTCTTCTTGAAACCCAAAGTTAACTTTTTGGAACAACCTTATTGTCGATTCGGGTTCGACTGGCGTAGTTGGCGAGTTGACACGGTGCTGCAGTCGCGGTATTTCGTCGGTAGATGGCGCTCACTGACTGCGCGCTCTCCAGCGCTGAATGCTCTGTGGCTGCCCGAACACATTCACTGCTGGATGAGCTGCACCGGCACGCTCCCCCACCTTGCAGATACGCGATCGCTCTCGTGCTGGTTCGCTGGTTCTCTGACAGCAGGTTTCCTCCACTGCTGTATGACTCAAGTCGCACGTGCTTGGCCGCTGGTTTGCTGGTTCTCTCTACTGCTGGATGACTTAAGTCGGCACATGCTCTCTCTGGCAGCTGGTTCTCTCCACTGCAAGATTACTAAGTCGCATGCGCTCTCGCTGGCAGCTGGCAGCAGATTCTCTCCACTGCTGGATGACTAAGTCGGCACATGCTCTTGCTGGCAGCAGATTGTCTCCACTGCTGGATGACTCAAGTCGGCACACGCTTGGCCACTGGTTGCAGAAGCTCTTGCTTGGTGCGTCGGTCGCGCTGCAGCTGGACTCGATGTAGAAATAAAGGTATTTAAACGATACTTTGCCTTTCAGCTCTGAACTCACACTCGGTGGCGCCTCGCTACCCTGCGAGCCTCGCCATCCTCAGTTGATCGCGCGGCTCGTTGGAGCCAGCCGCTCGTGCCCGATCTGCAGCTCGCCGGCTGACAACTTGCTGAACTCCTGTGCCGTGTTGAACCCGGTTTGAACTGAACTTTTGAAATGATGGTTGGACCGTTATAGTCAAAAAAAATTATCCGCTCTGCGCCGTGGATGGGCGTGGCCTGTGTGTGTGTGTGTGTTCGTCAAGCCATCTGCGTTATACAACCTTGGGGGGGAGGAGGGGGCGACCCTCTTTGTAACAACAAGCCATTCCTCGCTAGGGTGTTAAATTCCTTTCTCGTGGTGCGGGAAGACAAAGACGGTCGGGATCTCTTGGAATATTGTTTATCCTGGCCTCGCAAGCTTGACCCGTTCGCTCCCTCACCGTGTCTCTGCGCGTGGTTGCCCTTTTCCCCTCTTGGTGACCCTGGAGGCCGTATTATATCAACAGGTTTGTTTGAGAAATCGCAGATAACCTCTTTTGGTGGTGTTTTATTTATTTATGGTCTATTTACGATCAACATCTGATTTTTGCTGCGCTCTGGCTTACGTGTTTTCGTTTATCATTTCGATCAATATATATAAACAATATATCGGCAAATATTCTTATTAATATCAATTTTGGAAAAGGCCGATAATATCCAACAGTGGGACCCAGCGCCCGTCACATTGTCGATTGGGGTAGGGTTGTCACGAAGTCCAGGTTTTAACCGGACACTCCGGATATTCACATGTGTTCGGGTGGCAGGAATAGATTTATATATATACATTCATATTGTCATTCAAGAACCCAGAAAACAAAGTGGATTTTAAAAAGAGGGGGGGGGGAGAAAACAGCTGGGTAATGCGTAACAAACTCGGCGCAATGACACCCTCAATGTAGGGATCGATCGGCGGACATCTGTGCTCAGCTGCCCTACCGCGGTCAGGGTAACGGTCAGGAGCAGCTTAGGAGGGGTAATGGAGGGATAATGTAACTCAACAAAACCATAAAGTAACGTGAGTGCGATGTCCAAGTTCGTCATTCTTTTTATATCTCACAGGAGCAGCACTTCACCGTTGTGCTAACAGAAGTGGTGCAGTAGGAATTGATTGACTTAATTTCTTTTTTACTTTACGAAGATCTGATAGACCCCTCCGGCTGCCTGAGAAATATGTGAGGGTTTATGCCTCCCCCCCCACCCCCTGGCCTTGCCTGAGGAAGAGGTCGTAGCGGGTGATGTCGCTTGGGTTGCCGGAGGGAGTCGCGTAGCAGTAGTCGAGCAGCACGTGCCACCTGCAAAGATAAAAGACAGACCCCGTGTATAGCCTGTAACAGACTGTTGGGGCAAGTGCTGTTAGCGCACGGCATGACACACGAGGGGGTGGGTGGTCAGCACCATGCACCACCGCCTTTGTCTCCCCCAGTGGCAATGTTTACGCATCGCATCAGGTACTCATTTGAGGCCGAGTCGGCTTAGGGGAGGTCCAGGACCCCACCTGCACACACACACCCAATAACAACAACTGGAGTTCACAACTAAGTTGCAGTGATGTCACCACGGTGCTTGTGCCGTTCTAGGTGAACCTTGAGGCCACGTGAATTGTCAAAGGCTCACTGGCAGGAGGTCATGGGACAAACCCAAGTGCCATGGGTTGAAATGCGTATTCAGCCAATTGAGTAAACAGTCCTCGAATTACGAACATAATTCGTTCCTGAAATCCGTTCGTAAGTTGAACGGTTCGTAAATCGGAACACAATCTTTTACTGTATATAAATGCTCAAAAGCTCAGTGTTATGAAATCTGTTACGATGCAACATAGGGAAGCATTGTTAAACTCATTACATCTTGTGGAGGATTGCTCTTCTGAACAAAATAGTTCCGCGGTTCAGTTTTCAAGTGCAAGTTCGCGTTTTAAGTCGATGCTATTTTATTTTTCATGGAAGCTGGTTGTGTAAGTACAAGTGTTCGTAAGTCGGGCGTTCATAAGTTGAGGACTGCCTTATTGGGCTGCTATAAATGTTCACAAGCCACTTCATTGAGCTATCATTTGTGAACAGGTCACTTCTGAAAAAGGGCTACTATAGAGTTCAGTGGGCCTTACCTGGTAAAATAAAAAAAATAGTTTTACTAAGTTTAGACTGAGATGACTGGCAAGATGTACCATATGTGCTTCCTACTATGCCAACCTGCTGCATTTAGTCACCTGGCTCTCCTCTCGTTATTGTGAGCGCCGTTCCTCCGCCCTCCATTGTCGCTGATATTTCAAGGATCTTTGAGCTCCTCACACAATCCAACATAGTTACACCCAGGATTGATCATAGGCAGGCCATCCTGAATGTTTTATACCAAAGCAAATGTTCAAGCATAGAGAAGGGAGGGCAATACTGTGGCCGAGTAGACCCAGAGCTTCATATGGAGTGATAAGCCAGGTAATTTCCACACAGTGTTACGTAGCTAGTGAACATATAAAGCTGCCCAACTGATTCAGAGTGAGACATCCGCTGTCAAACAAGAGTTGGCCATAAGCACGCTGCCCGAAGTGCTGAAACGTCTTGACTGTCCCCACAACTGAAACATAACTCATGGGGAGTGGAGGGGAGTGGTACATTCGATGACACAAAGTACCCAGCCAGGTTCCAGGTCCAGCAGTAGCTTCTCCAACTCCTAAGAGGAAGCAGCAATTACCAGATCTTCAGCATATGTAATATGTACTCTTTGGTTCTTTCGGTAAAGTCACGTAGGTATAAAATAAAATAAATCGTGACGTTTTGGGCGCAACACAAGCGTCCATCATCAGGTGGGATTTATTTTATTTTATACCTATGTGACTTTACCAAAAGAACCAAAGAGTAAGGATTCCTGCAGTCACGAAAGCTTCAAATCAAGATACGTAATATGGTTGAGCCATAGGGAGTCAACCCTTGATCTCATCCAAACATCAATCAGAATCTCATTGTATCTGTAGCAGATGGAAATTCCTCGTAGGCTTTGGCCAAGTCAACAAAGCAGAGGTGTAGGTAGATCCTGTTGAAATTCACTTTTCCTCTGCTGTAGCACATGGGTTTGAAAATATGGCATACATGCAGGACTGCCCTGGCCTGAAACCACATTACGACTATGCTAGCTGCTCCTTAGCATGTCTGGCAAGGCGATGTTTGAATAATCCTTGTCAGGACACTTATTAGAATACTGAATACGGATATGCCCCAGACGTTGTTATAATCAGTACGATCCCTCTTATAACTTTACAAGAAGGCGGACTCTACTGATGAGGGCAGTCACCGGGGCATCCTTCCATTCCTGCAAAACACACACAGCCTGTGGTCCCAGCAGTTCTGATAATGTCATTCAGGGTAGTCTTGTAAATACAAAATTGCTACTCTCTGTCAATAATTCAATGGGAAGTCATCATCGCCTCATGCTTTACCCGAGCCTTAGACTCTGCATCACTCTTTGCACCGCCTAGGTAGATGGTGCATCAGCCAGCCCCCTCAAAACCATATTAAAAGATGTGATCTTGGTGTTCAAGGCGTTGATGGTGGTAGATTGTTAAGTGATGATGATGGTGGGAGCGAGGTGATGTGGTAGAGCAATGAGGGTGGTGCCGGTGAGGTGTAGATGTTTGTGAGGTGATTGTAGTCATGAGGCGTTGATGCTAGTCCACACCTCCAATTAGCACGGTTGGCTAGGTATGGTGCGAAAGAGGTTCAACATACACATCCATAGTGAGGCGATGGAGAGGTGTTGGTGGTACGTTTGTAGCTGGCCCGTGCACTGCCTCACCTCTCATCTAGGTTCTTGGCTCTCACAGCCGCGTAGATGCGCGTCTTCAGCTCCAGGCCCCGGCTGGGTATGTGCAGAAGCTCTGAGTAACTCGAGTCCTGGAGAAATACGGGGAGACATGGGGGAGACATTAAGGGGACATGGGGGAGACATGGGGGAGACACAGGTGAGAGACATGAGGAGAGACCGGGAGACTGGGGTTACAAAGGAGTGACACTTTGTAGGAGACACGGCAGGAAGACACAGGGAGACACAGAGGTGTCTGAGATATCACAATCCATCCCAATCCTGCACGTAAACTGATCTAATCGCTCCATCTCTGAGGTGGTTGTCCTGCTTGTCATGTTCTCTCCATCCGCTGTTATTATCTTACCAATATTATTCATCACCCAAATATCACCTAAATATGGTTAGGTCCTGAAATATTCATGTCAGGGCTCTACGACAAATTCGACCACTATTGAGTCGTGACATAGCTAAAGCGGGGGCGTGTAGCGGAGTATTGACAAGGCTCGATTATTGCAACTCACTACTCTACAGGACGTCTAGCAAAAACATTATCAAGCTGCAACGTGTACAACATTCAATGGCACGTGTCGTGACAGGGACCGCAAGATCCAACCGTGTCCGTCCAGTGCTAGCTGAGCTGCATTGGCTTCGGGTTATCGAACGGATACAATATAAGGTCACGCTCACTGCACACAAAGTGATTGCCACAAATGAACCACAATACCTTGCTGAATTCGTCAAGGAGCATAGAGCATCACACAAACTCCAGTCATCCTCACAGCGGTTTTTGGCTAACCATCGAACAAAAACGGTCATCGCATCGCGTGCTTTCAGATCCGCTTCTGCGACCGTCTGGAACGCTCTTCCGATATTAGGAAGCCACTGGAGCTATGCTACTTTTAAATTGAGATTGAAAATGTATTTCTTTAAAACTGCACATTTAGCATGGTTGGCTACGTACGGTATGAGAGAAGTTCAAGATACGTGCATACACACCTTGTAAAGAGATGTCTCCTGCGCATGTCGTTTACTTTCCTAACAATATGTTTCTCATTCGACAATTTTTTCATGTTCCATTCCTGCGAATGCCAATATTTTGAGGCGCTAAATGCTAATGTTGAGGTCTGCTGGCCATGAGAGGGTTTCAAGAGAGACATTGTGTAGTTTTGCTTTTCCTCCTCCATTGAAAGAGGGCAGACGACAGTGGTTTACTATGTGGGTCCATAGCCTGGGCTGCATGGCCACAATCGGACTGCAGGTGCACGCTAACAGCACTTGCCCTGAACAGTCGCGTCGCGGTTAGAGCACTGTGCTTCGAACCCGGCGACTCGAGTTCGGCCAACACCAGTGACGAATAACTGAACTCTCTCCAGTGTTGCCGCTTGTTCGAAGTGGAGAGACCAAGTACTACGAAAGCACTTGCAATGGCAACATCACCCCTCGCACTTTCCTGTTTTTTCACCAGCCAGCCCAGGCGTCCCGGCATACTTGAGCTGGCTTCTCAATATTGCTGGGGACGTCGAATTTAATCCAGGTCCGTTTTTCCCTTGTGGCGGCTGCGGCAAGAACGTCAATGCAAATTCTATCCAATGCAACAGTTGTAAAGCTTGGTATCACAAACGCTGCACTACTTTAGCCCGCATCCCCAGTTCACATTCTGGCTGGTTCTGCAAATATTGTACATCATCCACTCCAACAACTCCACCTTGCACAACCACACTAGCACCACCACCTCTCATCCATCGCAACCACCGTTTCAACCACAACAAAACGTCAACAACTAAAACGACCTAAAAATCCTTCAACTAAACATCAACGGCATCAACAACAAATCTCTTGAACTCAGCACCTTCCTACAACAAAACTCAATTAATATAGCTGCCATCCAAGAAACAAAATTAAAATCTACTTCTCGCCCACCCAACTTGAAAATTTCACTTTCCTCCGTCAAGACCGACCAACAGCTGGTGGCGGTCTAGCTTTCCTCATCCATAACAGCATTCAATTTGAAGAAATTAAAATCCCAATGCTTCCTTCTGATATCATCACAGAAGTCTTAAGTGTCCACATCAAATCCCATCTCGGCCCACTCACTATAATAAACATCTACATCCCACCGACCAGTTCTTGCCTTCGCAACTATCAGTTCAATATAAATCGACTTTTACCAAACAACGACTCAATTGTTATTGGAGATTTCAATACCCACAACAAACCTTGGCACTCTTCCCTTTCAGATGCACGTGGCGACCTCTTTGCCGATATCTTGAACGTCTCCCCCTATGGGGTAGTTAATGGCAAATAATCAAACCAGAGTTCCGTCATCTGGCCCTTCATCCTCACCAGATATCTCAATAGTGTCAGGAAACCTCCTTTTTATCAATCGACTGGTAAGTCTTTACAGCCCTTGGATCCGACCACCTACCAATTGTGTTGACCCTCAATGCCGCCAAGCCTTCACAAACTCCTAAAAACCGCTTGTATTACAACTTTAAAAAAGCAAACTGGCCACTTTTTACTTCAGAATCAGAAGCATTATTCGCCAACAACATCAAACCTTTTCCACACATTTGCACATAACTCTGAAAAGATTTTCATCACAACTATCACCAAGGACACCATCCCGGTGGGTTGCTACAACACCTTCCCTGCCTCCCTGAAGAAGCCTCAACTCTAAAAAACCAACAAAACACTATTAGGACTAAAAATCCTACATCACCACAAATCCCAGCCTTCAATATTGAAATCAAAAAGCTAATCAATCAAGCCAAAACAGAACGCTGGCACGAGTTTGTTGAATCTTTTGACCACCGCCAAAACTCATCAACTTTGGAAGACCATCAAAGCTTTAGATGGACACTTCAAATCGCCACCTAATTGTGCAATCACTTTCAACAAAAAATCCGTCATAAACAAAAATAGCATCGCCAACCACTTCAACAAACTTTTCTCATCAGTCGTCCAAGACTCTTCCAATAAATCCACCCGTCAAAAAATCCGTCAAATCAAGGAACGACCACTAAACGATGCCCCCCAATTTAGCCTTGAAGAGGTGAAACTAGCTATCAAAAAAGCCAAAAATTAATCCGCAATTTGCCCCGATGGCATAGCTATGCCCCACCTCAAACACCTCAGCCCCCTTGGCATAAAGTTTATCGCTTCCACCATTAACGCCTCACTCCAGTGCAACCTCATTCAGGCCATCTGGAAATCATTGACAATCATCCCACTTCCAAAACCTGGCAAAGACCTAAATCAAGCAACGTCCTACAGGCCGATTCCCCTACTTTGCCCATCAATCAAAATTTTAGAGGCCCTCATCCTTCCAATCATCTCACCAACATGGCTTTCGCCCTGCACACTCACCAACAACAGCTCTTCTCAAACTAACCACCCAAATTGCAAACGGTTTCAATGAGAAAAAGCCCCCATCCCGCACTATCGTCGCTTCCCTTGACCTTACAAAGGCTTTTGACACCGTTAACCACCTCACGCTCATCAACATCAGCCAGGGTTCTACGCTACAATTAGGCCTTGTTTGCTGGCTTACAAATTACCTAAGGGGCCGCCAATCACGCACTCTCGTTCGTGATATTCAATCCTCCTCACGAAACATTCATGCAGGAGTACCACAAGGTTCCATAAGATCCCCAGCGCTGTTCAACGCCTACCTCCACGATCTACCAACTCCTCCAAAAGGAGTACAAGTAGTCAGCTATGCCGACAACATCACAGTTTACACTTCTAATCAAAATATACCCAAAATGGAAACCTCCATCAACTCCTATCTAAAACGGCTCAGCACTTTCCTAGCCAATAGATCGCTTCAACTCTCAACATCCAAATCAACAATCACTCTTTTCACACCTGATCCTCAGGCCAACTTACATCCCAACGTCATAATAGACAACCAATGCCTCCCACTAGCTAAAACCCCAACAATTATAGGTGTAACCTATGACACCATGTTCAGCTTCGCTCAACACGGCAGAAACGTCCATGCAAAAGTTAACAAATGAAATAACATCTTACGAGCTTTAGCCGGCACATCTTGGGGCAACGAAAGGAGACTTTACTCCTAACCTACAAAGCCATTGGACGTCCCATCATCAATTATGCCAGTCCCATTTGGTGCCCAAACCTCTCCTCTACAGGTTACCAAAAGCTCCAAACCGCCCAAAACTAAGCACTTCGCCAAGCCACAGGATGCCACCTCATGGCGCCCATTGACCATCTCCAACAAGAAACCAAAGTTCTTCTGATTCAAGAACACTGCAAGCTTCTCACCGATCAATATCTGGCTTCATGCCACTCGACAAATGCATCCTTACACAAAGCTACTTAAAGCCCCTGCACCTGCTAAGAAAATGAAATCCACCTTGCTTTCCTTCAGCTCTGCCAACGTGCAATCGACTTTAAATGCTCTTCCACCAAATAGTACCACCAAATCAATTTTGAACCACTTGCACACCGCTTCCACCATGCACTGCCCGAACGTCTACGAGCCCCCAAGGTCGTGCTAGCGGGTTTGCCCCCACCCATAGCAGACGACGAAAAATCCCTGACTTGCACAAAACTGGCTCAACTCCGTTCAGGTTACTGCTCCATGCTAGCTGATTACCAAAATCGAATCGACCCAAATGCCACAAACTGCTGCCCTTTGTTTCAAGCAATGCCAGAATACGTCTCCCATTTTCTCAGTTGCCCAAAACGCGGACCAAAAATTAAATCAATTGATCTCTGGCTAAACCCTTCCAAAGTGGCGACACAATGCCACCTATAAACAGAAAGTGCGAGGAAAACAACAATAACTGAACTGGTTCTGGGCCTCCCCTAGGTCGACTCAGCCTCAAATGAGTACCTTGTGGGGTGTGTAAACATCGCCACTAGGGAGACAAAGGTGGCCAGGCCTGGTGTTTGCCACCCACCCCCTCGTGTACCATCCCGGGCTTCATAGGTGCTAACCGCGAACAGCACTTGCCCCAACAGTCTGCTAAATACCACGCGGGTAATCTTTGTCTGTCTTTGGCGAACAGGAGTGGTGGTGGCCGAGTGTGATGGCTGTAAATGCTTCAGATCTCTTGTGTGCGGTGGCTCGATTGTTGTTCGTCACACGTGGTTCGTAGCGAGAGGTTAGCGGGAGAGAGGGCTACGCTGCTCCCTCCCCCACCCTCGGGAGAGAGGGTGCCGGCTTACGTTGTAGAGCAGCATGTGCAGGGTGCTGATGAAGGTGCCGTTGCTGTCACGGTACGAGATCACCGCCGACGCACTGTCACAGGGAACGGACAGGCAGATTGTAAGAGAGGCGAGATATTGGGGGGGGGGGGGGGGGGGTGAGGGTGAGAAGGGAGACAAATGGGAAGGTGGAAAGAGAGGGGGCGAGGTGGGGAGAGGAGGGAGGGAGAGAGAGAGATGAGCGCTTGCAACATTCTCTGGGATGTGTCGTGACGGGTGGTGCAATATCCGACCATGTCCGTCCAGTGCTCTCGGAGCTGCATTGGCTTCCGTTTGCTGAACGAATGCATTATAAGGTCGCGCTCGTTACACACACAAAGTGCTTGCCACAAATGAACCACAATACCTCGCTGATCTCGCCAATGAGCATAAACCATCACGCGAACTCCGATCATCCTCGCAGCAGCGGCTTTTCGATGGCCATCGAACAAAGACGGTCAACGCAATGCACGCTTTCAGATGCGCTTCCGCAGCCGTCTGGAGCGCTCTTCCTTCCGATATTAGGAAGCCATTGGCTATGCACTTTGAAATCATCTAGATTGAAAACTCATTTCTTTGGAACTGATTTTTGCGTTGAGGTTCGTCCTTCCCCAGCACCTCCCATTCGCACGGTTGGCTACGTACGGTGCGAAAGAAGTTCAACATACATACATGAGAGAGAGGGGTGTATGATAAGTTAATTTAGCCGCACGTTATGACTCCTCTCACTGCAGCGGGGGTGGCTCTGCTCCCAACCCCAACCCTCCGCGCGTCTTCATGGCCACACCAACGGTGAGTGCCCTCTGCTCATGCTGGCATCAAACGACCACCGTAATGAGGAGCCAACGACGTGCGGTTTGAATGGGCGCAAACGTTCGGCACCGGCGCTAACGCACGAAGTGTCCATCGCTCGGCCCCCTCAGAGAGGAAAAAAAACGGTTTTTGGGTCTAAGGGTCGCGTCGTAACCGGGAGCTGTAAATGGGCCGGAATGAGCCCGGAATGAGCCAGATCGCCGTGGTGGTGGGAGTGAAGATCTGAACCCAACTGGAAGAAACCCGTGACACGTGTAGTGGAGGTGGGTAGTCTGTATCGGTTAATGTTTTTAATCCGTTCCACTAAAACTGTTAACCGAAATAACTGTTAATTAAAGATATTAATTACATGTTAAAAGCATTAATCCATTCCAAGACTGTCGGAAGTTGACCTTATTGACCCTTAAAACATAGTTTATAGCATTTAAACACTTAATATTAATAAATTCAATTATAAGAACATTAAAGAAGGAATATCAATAGAAACGTAGTTAAATAATGAATACATAGACCATAACAATGCTTACCTTAGGCTAAGAAGATGGCTGACTTAATCGGGTTGATGGAGAAGCTGAGGTAAGGGAAAATATATTTTGGGAAGGAGATTCTTAAAGTAGAAAAGAGAACCATAGGTTCGAATGTAAACTTAAAGCCAGTCGAGGTCTAAACACTCATAAATGGGCGTCGCCGATTGGCTGAGAGCATGGCACAGCCCCACTTGCAAGCGCTTGGATTGGTCGGAATTGGCGGCCCGCGTGCATCACGTAAACGTTACCGTTCATCAAAATGTTAACGTTAGTCGACACCATGGGGTCCCCTATGGGAGGCGAAACCTTAACCGAAAAACCGTTAACCGATGTCACTGTTAACCGAAGGACTACTCTATTTATAACTCGCAAGAGTCTGCTCCGTCACGCTCTGGATCTCCCAAACGGTACGTGAGTAGAAAAACATACGAAACAATTGCGTAAAAGATCTGCGAATACACGTGGGAAATATAAACATGTTTCCAGTCATGATCGTAACTGCTTTAAGCGTGGCATTCACCCTCACTCGACCCAGGAGACACAACAACAACTCGGCTTTCTGAGCCACAACTTCTACATGAAGCTAGGTGCCTCGACATTGGCACCTAGCTCCTGGACATATTGCCAGAAACTGTAATGCAACAAACAGTGGTCATAATATAATTGTAAATGTTGTGGATTTTCTCTCCAACACACCAGTGTGCTGAACAAGTAACTAATTGGCACGTTTTGTTTACGTGACAAACCTTATTAATTGACTGTCGGGTGGTTGTGGTTTTAAGGGCACGTTTATATTTACGTGATCTCACCCAAAAAAGCTCAATTATGGATAATATTGCTCGCGAAAGCCTATGACGTGTTAAACTAACAAGCATTCGCTTCGTCATCAGCATTGCCTTCACCAGAAGACATGGCCTCCCCGTGTAGAGCCCAAACTGCATTGAGCACCAGTGTTCAGACGACGTATGTGTGTATGTTGAACTTCTTTCGCACCGTACATAGCCGACTGTTTTAATCGGAGGTGCGGGGTAAGGACAATAAACTAAAATACAACAAAACTCCTAACGTGAAATTCGAACCCATAACCCTCAGACGTAACCACTAACTTTAAACCCTAACCGTGAACCCGAACCCCCTATCCCCAAGCTCTCACTCCTAAAAATCAAACCTCTGACACTAAACCGTGACTCCGAACCCTAATCCATTAACCCCGAAGAAGTGGCTTTAATTTAGTATTTCACCAAACGAAAACCCAAAGGACACACATCTGGTCTACGATTGGATGGAAATATTTAGGCAATAGTACGGCCAGAAACTCGGGATTTGTCTTCCCACATGTTTGGAACAATGCCATCTATGGGGGCTATCTGCCCATGGATCGTGATGATGATGGGACAATGTAATTATTGGGGCAGACAAAGTTTCAGGAAGCAGAGATATGTGTATTTATTGTTTAAAGGAGAGCCTACACAATGCGTGAACTGATAAGGAATGAGTCGGGCTAATGCTGCACGTGCCCCATGACCCAGCAATGAGGAAGTAACAATTGAGGGCTGGTGGATAACACACGGATGCTGTGGAACTCCTTTCCCCTTGGACGTTGAGGAGCCATCCTCTGGCTCTGCCAGGAGAGGGCGGTACAGCAAAGTGGGGACCTCATCTGTTGCCGTCTGTATGGGATAGAGCGTTGACCTCTCATGTGTGGGTTTTCTCCGGGTGCTCCGATTTTCTCCATAATTTAAAGCACTTATTAATTGGCCCGAAAACATCTGAATATACAGAGGACCACAGAGCTTAGCTTGAATAATTTAACGTATACCGGTGATGCCCGGTATATTTATTTTCCCGCAATTTCCAATCCCCGGTGAGAAACTCTTGCAGGGCGGTAGTGCATCAAAATTAGTTCTCGTGATGTCGAAGCAGTCAGAAGACGTATGTTACGAGCGGCTGAACACGAAGCTTCACAGTCTGTTGCCGTACAGCAGCACGCAGCCTGATACACGATTGGCTACTCCATGTCCCAGATCCAACATTTTACTCGTGTCCTAGACTTGGTCCGATGGTTCCTCGATTCATTTGCGGAATCATTTATTGGCAGATGGTGGTATCACAAGATTACAACTCGTGGTGGCGTCACCACCGCACGTTCCATTGGGAAATCGGCTGCTGAATCTAAGTGCAACTTCTGATGGAGAGTGCAGCACACTCAATGGCAAGAGCGACTTCGCTAGACTTTTAAGAGGACCGGTGAGTTAGGCTGCACCGGTGCATCACCAATACGTGCAATTGTTAGCATCGATTCACCACCGTGCAGCCGCTGTCTTGCCGCTCGCACATAGTTCCTCCTCCTCGCGCCTCTGAGTCGTTCTCCCTCTCATCTAACAAAAACTATTAGCTTCAATTATATATAAGGTTAGGATCGCGATGATCACGGAGCTACAAGACCGCAAGGAACACCGTGGCACACGAGGAGGGCCAAACGTTCTGATATTTAATTTAACACGTTGGCTTTCGAGACCAGTTATTATTCACAACAAAAATTTAATTTGGGTTAGATCGCGTACTCAAATTGTAAATGTTGTGGATGTACTCTCCTACACAGCGGTTGGTGCTGACGTAGTAACTAATTGGCACGTTTTGTTGATGTGACCTTTACTAATTGGCTGTGTCGGGTGGTGGTTACGGGTTCTGATATTTAACTCGCCGTCATCTAACGCTGATGTCTCTGCAGGGCCTAGCTAGGGCTGTGTTACCGCCTATGTTTGTGAACAACAGAACCCCGACACGGTGGCCATAACCAGGCTTGGTGCCAGTCGGGTTCCTTCTGCCTGCCACCCGAGCCACGTTGGCAAGAGAGTGGCGAACAGTCCCGGGACTCGCCCATAGGGGCAGCAGTCCGAAGCGCAAATGCCCGGTGGGCCGTTCCATTTTTATGGCCGATGTAGGGGGGCGGCCTGTGTGGGGATATTGCACATGTGATCGGAGTACAAAAGATATATATTTTATATTTTAATAAAAAATATTTATTACCTTTAACGTGTGCGCTGGATTGCTTATATATTCGGCAGGCCCAAAGATTCTTCCTCACCGACTCTACATTCGTTTTTTTGGACCCAGCACCAAATGGTACACAAATGAGGATTGCATGGTAAAATCTCGCTCATAGGTCGTCACACCGCAATATCTAGCGACTTAGTCGTACTACGGAGTTTATCATGGCACGAAAACCATTTAGAAAATAAATAATTGCCCACAGCCCAAATTTGGGCCGGTGGGTTTACAAATGCCTGGACCGATTTTTAGTCCCAAGGCCGGCAATGGTCGCAAACAAGAGCAGACGAAGTCGGATGCGTCCCGAGCGTCGTGTGAAATCCATTTTTTAAATACCGGTAGGGGTTCCCTCAATCAATCAAGCAATCGATCAGTCTTCATATTTCCGTGCCAATATTGCCCTCAGTAAAGCAGGCATCGGTGCACATTACAGCAGAACGGGAACGATGCCAGGGGGCACGGAGCAAGGAGGCTGAATAAAGAGACCCGTCACGACCTCAGGCTAACGCCGACTGAGCAGATTCAATTGCAATTGCGTGAAAAACAAAGTGCAAACCTTGCGAAACGAACAGCACGAGAAAGTTAAGTAGTATTTTTTTTATATATATATATAAAAAGTAAAGAGACAGTTTTGTTTTATTTTAAATCTTTGATTTTATGGGAAGGCAAGTCTCTATTCCACCTTATTCCGAACCTTCGAATAGATTCTAACATATCACACATTTCACAAGAACGGGTACGGTTATGGTGTGCGTGGGTTGGGATAGGATGAGGGGCTAGCGTATGTCAGGTTAGGGTTAGGGTGAGTGTGGGTACGGGTAGGGTAAGTGTGGTTACGGGTAGGGTGATTGTGGGTGGGTTAGGGTGAGTGTGGGTGGGTTAGGGTGAATGAGGGCACGGGTAGGGTGAGTGTGGGTGGGTTAGGGTGAATGTGGGTACGGGTAGGGTAAGTGTGGGTGAGTTTGGATGAGTGTGGCTGGGTTAGAGTGAGTGAGGGCACGGGTAGGGTGAGTGTGGGTTAGGGTGAGTGAGGGCACGGGTAGGGTGAGTGTGGGTTAGGGTGAGTGTGGGTGGGTTAGGGTGAGTGTGGGTATAGATTGGGTCAGTTTGGGTGGGTTAGGGTGAGTATGGCTGGAGAGCAGTACTGTTGCGGTGAGCATGCTGCACTATGAACCCAAACGACCCGAGTTCGATTCCCGCTCACGGCCAACACCAGTGACGATTATCTGAACCGGTCCTGGGCCTCCTCTAGGTCATCTCAGCCTCAGATGAGAACCAAGTGCGTAAATATCGCCCTGAGGAAGACAAAGGCGGCCTGGCGTGGTGCTGGCCGCCCACCTCGTGTGCCATGATGGCGACCTTAATAGGTGCTACTCGCTAACAGCACTTCCCCAACAATATGTTAAAGCCTATACAGGGGATATTTGTCTTGGTGTGGGTGGGTTAGGGTCGAGTGTTAGGGATGGGACATTGAAAGGAAAACATCGATATGTTTTTATTGAAAGCACCAATATACACTGAAATATCGGAATGATTACAGGAAAGAGCAACGAAAATATTCAAAGGTAATGTTTAAAAAAATAATGATTAAGTAATCCTAAATTTCAAGAAGAAGTAAAAATCGAATTACGAAAAAGCGGCAGAAGGCAGTTTGTTGATGATGGCTCAACACCCCGCACAAACGTGCGCCACTATCAATATCTAAGCAAATATTGAGGAACTCGCCTTTTGCCCGTCCAAGGACGGGTGTATTGCAGTAAATCTGAAACTTGCAAGCGAAAAGCAGACCACGACGTGATATATTCATTGCATCAATGTGTGTGCAATTTGTAAGGGCACGGTGACAGACCTATTTCATGTTAAGGTTTTAATCCCTTGTTCACCACGACCTCCTTTTTACTTTGATGTCTCAACAACGTTACGGAGATCACGTGACGTGTAGTGAGGGTTGTAATTTGACGCCGAGGAGGGAGGAGGAGGCGCCTCAGCCCCCCATGTGGAGTGACGTCAGTCGCTAATTATTATGAATGGGTGGGCTGTCCATTTGGAGGATGTCACCTTATAATGAATATTAATGAGGGGGACTGTTCGATGTGGAGTGACTTCACCGTTTCATGATTATTAATGAGGGCGGGCGGGTCCATGTGGAGGACGTAACTTGTTCATGATCATTAATGAGGCGGGCTGGTCGATGTGGAGTGATGTCACGAGCATTGCACACAGACATTCTTGGCTTATTGTAGTAGATAATAATAATGGGGGGGGGGGGGGGGGGGGGGGGGGGGGGGGGTGTCCATTTAGAGGACGTCACCTGCTCATGATTATTAATGAGGGGGGCTGTTCGATGTGGAATGACGTCACTTGCGCACGATTATTAGTGAGGGGGCGGGAAGTACTCCATATTGAGTGACGTCACCCGCTCATGATTATTAATTAGGAGGGGTGGGGGGGGGGTGTCCATATGGAGGACATCACCTTCTCATGAATATTAATGAGGGGGGCTGGTCGATGTGGAGTGACGTCACGAGCGTTAAGGACAGACATTCCTGGGTGATTATAGTCGATATAATTCGACAGGAAAAACAGAAATGTACTCAGGCTCCTGCTGCTGCAGAGTCAACACTCAACCAACAGCAAACTTACGTCGACTTTACAGAATATTAGAACTTTCAACTGATCTGCAGTACCACATATATGTGTGTATACGTGCATCTGTCTACGACGTTTAGATAGGGACCAGTTGATTTGTTTTTTTGATCAGACAGATTCAAATGTAGGTGGTTGACGGATGGCTGCAGGATATTTCGTATATCCCGCTTTCTTTCAGCCGGAAAAAACACAAACCTCCAAAAATAGGAATCGGTTTATACCCTTTCTAGCAATAAAACAGGAGGTATTCAGATGTTCAAACACCAAATAAGAGTTTCTTGTTATTTTCTATGAACCTATCTACGTGACTTTACCGAAAAACCCAAAGAATATGAATTCCTGCAGTCACGAAAGCTTTTTTAACAAAATAGTGAAGAAAATGTGTCATGACCTCACAAACTCACAGCACCAGAGATGAAGCAAAGACATTAAACTAAACGTAACATAATTTGGTTAGCTTTGATGACACCCCTCCAATAATCCACCTCCACTCCCAACATAATCCAACCTCCACAGGACACCTCTCCCACAAGTGTGTGTCGTTAATGTAGACTCGATGCCTTTCAAAAGGCATCTATTTGGTGTTTGAACATATTAACAAAACTCCAGTTTTACTGCCAGGAAAGGGTAAAACCGATTCTTATTTTTCAAGAAGGAAGAGTGTTCCAGACGGCCGCAAGAGTTGAGAGTCGGATCCTCGAGGAAGTGAAGTCGCAGGAGTTTCTAAGCGCCACCCCATTGGATATGCAAATGACGGGGTCATATTTGGCTACTGGGGCTAAATAAAGGTGGGGTGCGCTCATGCAGATGGGGACGTGTACACAACGCGATGGAAGGGTGCGGCGACCCTGGGAGCGGCCGAGGGCTCAGAGAAAGAGACGGGCTGAGAAAATGCCCTTTAAAATTTGGGGCAAGATAAACCGTGGGAAAGAGAAAGCTCGGGGAGAAGTTGATGCAACGAACGGAGATCGCTGCCTCTTCAGTGACAAAGAGGCAGGTGGCATAGCGACGGCGGCGGCAGCACGCGCCACGGTGAGGTTCTACGCTGAGATGGAACCACTGCGAGTCGGCGGCGGCGTCAGCAGGTGATAGGAGACGGGGCACGTGGAGTTGCACGGGTGGGGAGGTGTTTATTGGTAGCTTGTCACTGAAGGAGTTGTCAGTTTGCGCATAAAGAACATTTTTTAGTATCGCTATGGGTTAGTGAGCCTATGGCATTGCGTAATCTTTATTTTAACAGTTGCTCAGCTGTAAATGCATTCATAATAAACGTTTTCGGGTTAGATCACGTAAGTATAAATGTGTCGCTGGTAATTATCCATTTTGAGTACGACGTTTCGCTGGTAATTACCCAGCGAAACGTCGTACTAAAATTGTAAATGTTGTGGATTTACTCTCCAACACACTGGTAGGCTGAAGTAGTAACTAATTGGCGCGTTGTTTACGTGACAAACCTTACTGGCTGTGTTGGGTGGTGGAGGGTTACGACACATTAATAGTTATATTCTTTGTTCTTTCGGTAAAGTCACGTTGAAGGGAAACAACAAAGTAATAAAATATATCCACATATACAAGCACAGAGACAATTTCAACCGAGAAGATGGATTCTATCTTAGCAATCATTGGAAAGATTTGATAAAACATTTCAGGTCTTAATTGATTGTTCACGCTTACAGTGGCTTTCAGACAGCATACATAAAAAAAAAATCGTCTCCCCCCTCCTCTTTTCAGAATATAGATGGACTAGTCCTAAATAAACTGCCAAATCGCTGCGCGTGGCGCTAACGTTTTTTAAATAAATAAATACACCGTTTAAAAATAATTTTATGCAAACCAACACACCTGAAGGCGACCGTTTGTGTTATGGTCGAAACGTCGTGAGAATTTTTATTGTTTTATATATATTTTATTATTTTGTTGTTTCCCTTCAACGTGACTTTACCGAAAGAACTAAGAATATTAATTACTGCAGTCACGAAAGCTTTAAATCAACATTAATAGTTACGCGATCTAACCAAAAAACCTTTATTATAAATTATACCGGTCGCAAAAGCCGATGTGTTAAACTGTAAATGCATTACTAAACAAAAGCAAGAATAGTGTGAATAATGTTATTTATTACTCTTAGTTGTAATGTTTTTACTGGGATTGTGTTATAAAGTGTGATATATAAAACTCACTTTTACTTAATGTGCCTCCTTGATTTATTCGTTGAATAAGGATCACAATAGATTGTGTGCGCTTTGGATTTTTTTTGCCGTGGATTACACATACGTGCTTGTGCATTATTCACCACTAAAGGTAGGATATACAACACTCCCCCCCCCCTCTCTTGCTGTCTCTCTGTGTGCACGCGCCAGTGCGTGGCATTGGCGGCGCTGTAAATAGAGCGATACAATCGGACACCCGATGAAATCACCGATCAGAGATTTGCCCCCCATATTTGTAAGTAGGCAAGGCATTGGCCGAAGGGGGCGTGTCTTTGCCCATATAATTGTATCTATTCAGCTTGAGTCGATTCGACACCCAGCTCAAGTTGATCAGACAGCCATCTTTAAAATGTTCGATTCATTGGCAATCGATTCAATGATCAAGCCGTCAAGTGACACAACACCCCCACCCCTCTCCGTTTATTTGATTGGCTTATATCAGCAAGCATCAGTGAGTCAGTTGCAGTTTCCACTTTGATTGTTACCACAGCATCGCGCATGCCCTCCCCCTCCCGCCCTCGCCCCCGCCTCGCCCCGCCCCCCGGGAGGTGCAAGGGCTTACGAGGAGAGCTGCGAGTTGTTCACGATGTACTGCAGCGGGTAGAGGCAGGTGTAGCGGTAGAGCAGGTCGGGCAGGTAGCTGATGACGGAGGGCGGGTCGGGTGTGTCGATGTAGCCAGACACGTTGCCGCTCTGCACGGCCACCAGGTTGCTCTCCCCGTTGGAGCCGGACACCGACACGATCTGCCCACAACGGTGGGGAGAGGGGAGTGGGGGGGGGGGCATAGCAGACAGTCGTTCTTTGCTCGGTCCCTTGTGGGAGAGGTGTCCGGTGGAGGTGGATTATGGGAGTGGTGTGGGGGGTGGAACGGAGGTGGATTATGGGAGGGGTTGGGGTGGAGCTAACCAAATTATCTGTTACATTTAGTTTAATGTCTCTGCTTCATCTCTGGTGCTGTGAGTTTGTGAGGTCATGACACATTTTTTTACTATTTTGTACAAAAAGCTTTCGTGACTGCAGGAATTCATGTTCTTTGGGTCTTTCGGTAAAGTCACGTAGATAGGTTCAAATAAAATAACAAAAAACTCTTATTTGGTGTTTGAACATCTTAATACCTACTGTTTTATTGCTAGAAAGGGTAAAACCGATTCTTATTTTTCGAGGTTTGTGTTTTTCCGGCTGAAAAAGAAGTGGGATATACGAAATATCCTGCAGCCATCCATCAACCACCTTCATTTGAATTTGTCTGATCAAAAAAACAAATCAACTGGTCCCTATCTAAACGTCGTAGACATGCACGTATACACACATATATGTGTACTGCAGATCGGTTGAAAGTTCTAATATTCTGTAAAGTCGACGTAAGTTTGCTGTTGGTTGAGTGTTGACTCTGCAGCAGCAGAAGCCTGAGTATATTTCTGTTTTTCCTGTCGAATTATATCGACTATAATCACCCAGGAATGTCTGTCCTTAACACTCGTGACGTCACTCCACATCGACCAGCCCCCCTCATTAATATTCATGAGAAGGTGATGTCCTCCAAATGGACACTCCCCCACCCCTCATTAATAATCATGAGCGGGTGACGTCACTCAATATGGAGTACTCCCCGCCCCCTCACTAATAATCGTGCGCAAGTGACGTCACTCCACATCGAACAGCCCCCCTCATTAATAATCATGAGCAGGTGACGTCCTCCAAATGGACACCCCCCCCCCATCATTATTATTATCCACTATAATGAGCCAAGAATGTCTGTGTGCAACGCTCGTGACGTCACTCCACGTCGACCAGCCCCCTCATTAATGATCATGAACAGGTTACGTCATCCACATGGATCCCCCACCCCCTTATTAATTATCATGAGCCGGGACGTCACTCCACACGCGAGCGTTGGTTTCTGACAATAAAGCAGGTGACACTTGCATTGCCTTTCTACTGTTCGCCTTGTGGCGTTCTCTGGCCTAACACTGGTGGTGAGACAGGGCCATGGAGAAGGCTGTTGTCTCTGGTGTAGGCCAATCAGTTTCAAAGACAATTTACACATTAGGGGTCGTCCATGAATGACGTCACGCGAATTTGGACGATTTTGACCCCCCCCCCTTGTCACACGGCGTCACAAAAAGTCAGAACCCCCTTCAAATATGACGTCACAAAGCTCTGCCCCCCCCCCCCAAAAAAATGTAAAACATGCTTCAAATCGCTTTAAACTATTGTCATTGTAGTGCGTATTTACTGTGGCGCTGCACTCTGATGTTGTAGGAGAAAACATTTATTAAAAAGTCTATTTAATTAAGTATAACGTGTTGTCTATATTTATTTAAAGTTGCGCATTTTGATGTGACGTCACATTTCTCAAACCCCCCACCCCTCGTCACACATCGCCACAAATGTCCGACCCCCCCCCCCCCCCTAGGTGCGTGACGTCATTTATGGACGGCCCCTTATTATCGGAGCATGTTTGCATGTTTTTCCACAAGTACGTGTACTTAATGCAGACTTTATGCTTTGCAAACAGGAACCATTTGGTGCTTGAACATCTTAACACAACTCTGTTTTAGTGCCAGAAAGGGTAAAAAAAACTACTCTCATGTTTCATCAGTCCACAGTAGTTTTGCCAAATGAGGCGATGATCTTGTTCTGTGTAATCGCCAACTGGGTAAGTCACTTGGTAATATTCTTGGTTCTTCTTCTTTGGTTCTTTCGGTAAAGTCACGTAGAATGAGAATAAAATAATGAATTGATAAAATAAAATAACACAATAAAATTCTCACGACGTTTCGGCCAGCAGTCTCGTCCCTTCACCTGATGAAGGCTGCTTGTGTTGTGGCCGAAACGTCGTAAGAATTTTATTGTGTTATTTTATTTTATCAATTTATTATTTTATTCTCATTCTACGTGACTTTACCGAAAGAACCAAAGAAGATGAATCCTTGCAGTCACGAAAGCTTTAAATCGGAATTATTGGTTCTTTCGGTAAAGTCACGTAGAAGGGAAACAATATATTTTTATTGTTTTATTGTTTACCTTCTACGTGACTTTACCGAAAGAACCAAGAATATGAATCCCTGCAGTCACGAAAGCTTTAAATCACTTGGTAATGTTTCAAATTTGGGGAATTGGCCTCACTCTGGCGAACGACGTCACAGGATCTGCAACGTCCGCTGTGAGTAAAAGTGAACTGCGTGGAGTACGTTCACGGTTGCCACACTCTCTCGTGCAATAATAACCGCCCGGTGGCCTTACATATTGGGACGACGAACCACTTCTAATAAGCGACGAATGGTGCTACCGAGGAGGGAGGAGGAGGAAGAGGAGGGGGAGGAGTTGGAGATTTTTTTTACTTTCAAACCATTTTTTATTGCCGCCAGCAGCAACAGCACTGGAGGCGATTCCGATATGAAATACACAAAGTCACCAGCAACACAAATGAAAATAAACGTTATAAATCCACGCGCTGTGGCGCTAAATGCACCGCGCACAGCACGAAAGAAAAGTCACGTGGTGGTGGTTTTGGAGAAGGAGGAGGAAGAGGAGGAGGAAGGGAATGAGGAAGGAGAATGGAGGAGTTGGAGGAGGAACAAGGAAGAGGAGTTGAAGGAGAGGGAAGGATGAGGTAGGAGAAGGCGCGAGGAGGAGGAGTTCGAGGAAGAGGAGGGGGAGCAGCGTGTGATGATGACGATGAGCAGCAGCGTGCTCGCCGCGGGGCTCTCACGGTGAGGGTGCTGCCGCACGACTCGAGCGCGCTGAGCGGGATGTGGAAGAGGAGCGACGCCGGTGCCGTCTCGTTGCGAAGCCGCCCGCGGCACCTCAGCTCCGAGTGGCGCCCGTTGAGCGCCAGGTCGTGCAGCGTGTAGCCCGCGTACAGCACCGGGCAGAAATTGATGGTCAGGGAGATGGTCTGCGCACCGCAGGACACCACCATGTCCGTCGCCACTGTCCATCGCGGGGCGTGGGAGAGGTGCCGGGGCAGGGATGGGATGGAAGTGTTAAGGAGTTATACTCTTTGGTTCTTTATGTAAAGTCACGTAGGTAAAAAATAATAAGAGGAAATTAATAAAAATCAAATCAAATCACGACGTTTCGGAGGCAACACAAGCTTCCTTCATCAGGTGTAAAAAAGGCACAGCTACCATTGTTGGATGTTCTGTTTGAGAGGAGGTCCAATGTCTCCTTGGGACATTCTGTCTACAGGAAGGCCACCCACACAGATTCCTATCTGAAACCTGATTCCCACCACCATCCAGCACATAAGAATTCCTTAATCAAAACACTACACCATAGGGCCCACTGCATTTCTGACCAACACTACCTGGCCAGTGAATTGGTACATGTACACCGGGCCCTTAAGATGAATGGATATTCTGACCGTACTATCCGCAAAGCTGTTTCTCCAACCATGGAGAAACAACCCCCTGAGACTCCGATCAAAACCATCACGTTACCATACATAGCAGGCGTTACCAAAAATATTTCCAAAATCTTAAACACAAGATCCAGGTCCGATTCAGTACAGTACACAAAATCCGTGATCTAATCCCATCTGTGAAAAATGTCATTCCTGACTTGCAATACCCTGGTGTTTACAAACTAAGTTGCATCTGTTATTGTTACATTGGCGAAACGAAACGTCATGTTTCTGACCGTGTCCGCGAGCACAAGACAGATTTGAAACACGGCAGGACGAATTCCTCCGCCGTTGCTGATCATTGTTACAATGCTGTGGGCTCTCATGATATTATCTTTTCCGAGACCAAAGTGCTCTGCAAGCCATCTGGATATCACCAAATGTTTGTCCATGAGGCCATCCAGATATACAAACATAGACATAACTTCAACCGAGAAGATGGATTCAAATTGAGCAATCATTGGAAAGATGTGATTAACCATGTTAAACCTCAACTGCTACTCTCCCCCGCTCCGCGTCCCTCCCCCCCATCCGTGGCGCCGATGTTTTCCAGCAGCTTTACCTTCCTGGCTCCCCCCCCCCATCCTACGCCCGTCCTCCCTCGCTCCTCCCCCTCCTCTTACCCTATATAACAGTCTCTCATCACGAATAACTCTCTCTACAGTTATTTTGCTGTGCCTTTTTTACACCTGATGAAGGAAGCTTGTGTTGCCTCCGAAACGTCGTGATTTTATTTTATTTATTTATTATCTTTTTTTACCTACGTGACTTTACCTAAAGAACCAAAGAGTATGGATCATTGCAGTCATGAAAACTTCAAATCTATAATTAACGTTAAGGAGTTTTTTAGGTTGTAAACTGATTTCTTTAGCAACTGCTTGTTGTTGTTGTTATGTTAGTTTATTGTCCTTCCCCCCGCATCTTATGATTAGCGCGTTTGGCTACATATGGTGAGAAATAATTTCAACATATACTATACACTACTCTATACTGTACTACACTACTATACACTACACTATACACTACATTAATATACACTACCCTCCTATACACTACCCTACTATACACTACACTATACACTACATTACTATACACTACATTATTATACACTACATTACTGTACACTATACGACTAACACTACACTAATATAGACTACACTATACACTACACTACTATACACTACACGACACCACTATACTAGATTGAAAACGCATTTCTTTAGAGCTGCTTTTGTGTCGTTAGTTTGCTGTCATTCCCCCGCGATTGGCTACGTACAGTGCGAAATAAGTTCAACATACACAACACTATACACTATTATAAACTACCCGACTATACACTACATTACTATACATTACACTACTATACACTACACTATATACTACTATACACTACTAGACTACACACTACACTAATAAAGACTACACTATACACTACATTATCTATACTACTATACACTACACGACACCACTATACTAGATTGAAAACTAATGTTTTTATAGCTGCTTTTTGTGTTTAATGTGTTGTCCTTCCCCCGCACATCCGATTAGCGCGGTTGGCTACATACGGTGCGAAAGAAGTTCAACATACGAGACGTAATGAGTGCGTACTACGGAAATATATGGTAACGCTGTTATATCCGGAGTATCATGTAAAGTTCCCCCCGAAGTCGATTTTGAGATGCCGCTCTGAAAAGAAACACAGCTGCTAGGGGCCGTTCATAAATGACGTCACGCGATTTTGGACGATTTTTGACCCCCCCCCCCCAGTCACACGGCGTCACAAAAAGTAAGACCCCCCTTCAAATATGACGTCACAAAGCTCTGCCCCCCCCCCCCAAATATAAAACATGCTTCAAATCGCCTTAAACTATTGTCATTGTAGTGCGTATTCAATGTGGCGCTGTACTGTTGTAGGAGAAAACATTTATTAAAAAGTATATTTTTATTAAGTAGAACGTGTTGTCTATATTTATTTAAAGTGGCGCATTTTGATGTGACGTCACATTTCTAAACCCCCCCCCCCCCTCGTCACACATCGTCACAAATGTCTGACCCCCCCCCCCCCCGCCTAGGCTCTGTCACTCACCGCCCTTGCCCGCCATTGGATCCCGTGCTCCCCCTCACGTGACCCTGTCAACGCTCGTCCCATCAATCATCATCAGTACGTCCGCTAGTAACCATGGCGACCCTCACGTGACCCTGTCAACGCTCGTCCCATCAATCATCATCAGCACATCAATTAGTAACCATGGCTACCCCTCACGTGACCCTGTCAACGCTCGTCCCATCAATCATCATTAGTACGCCCATTAGTAACCATGGCGCCCCCTCACGTGATCCTGTCAACGCTTGTCCCATCAATCATCATCAGCACTCCCATTAGTAACCATTGCCTCGGGGAACCAGACTGTCCCTCTATGCTCCGTACTGTCTTTACAAGTGTATTCATGAAATGATAGAGCCAATAGCATTAGGGTACCAATCGGCAACAACTTTCATTCAGCGATGCGCTAAATCATGCAACTGAATGTCTTGAAGTGCCCAGGAGCAGCTCAGCACAAGTCGGGTAGTACGGGGTCTCTGTGCTATGAGTCGGAGTAAGCCACGGTGGCTATGAGATGTTAACTCCCTCGCCTGGTTTTCAGGAGGTTGTGGGTTCGATGCTGACCCTGATGCCTGCTGTATATTTGAGAGTGTGCATGTTGTTTCCCTCCACATTTAGAATCAACGTCAAACGTCTAGAATACATGGCTGCTATAAATGTCCACGTGATAAGCCACTTCGTTGAGCCATCATTTGCGGACAAGTCGCTTCTGGTGAAAAAGATATAGTTTAGTTTTAGAGTAAGCATGAGTAAAATAAGTGTTTTTGGAGTTGCCTACTCACAAACTTATAATTATTTGATGATGCTGTTGCGTTGGCTTGGTGCACAAGCAAAATAAATAAAATAAATAAACCCCGACACTTCAACAACACCGTCGCCTGCAATTAAACATTTATATCAAATTGGCGACGTTTCGGGCAATGGCCCTTCATTGCACATCAACAGACCAGATAGAGTTGATAATAAGAGTTGGAGACGGAACTTTCTTACACCACGCTGCATCCTAATGAGAAATAACTTTTAAAAATGTTTTCTGATAACCAGTTTTTCTTAAAATACGGGTATCCCTCCGGGTAGTTGGCATCTGTGTTGACGTGGCAGGCATTGCTGTTTTATCGAGATCTGGTATTGCAAGAATAGGTTTTACCCTATATGGTAATAAACAGGTGTCAGAGAGTTCGATTTAAAGCTTTCGTGACTGCAAGGATTCATCTTCTTTGGTTCTTTCGGTAAAGTCATGTAGAATGAGAATAAAATAATAAAAGAAAATAAGACAATAAAATTCTCACGACGTTTCGGCCACAACACAAGTAGCCTCCTTCAGGTGAAAGAACAGAACTGTCGGGACTACAAAGCTTGAATGAACGCTATTAAGATTCGTAGCGTCTTTTAGGCTTGGTGAGAGGCGTGGAGAACCTTGACAAAGGAGTTTACCTATCACAGCAGGAGAATTTAGCATTGAAATAGCTGAGGGATTAGCTTGTGACAGAAATAGCTGTGTTAAAGTCAAAGTTTACATATCAACAGAGGCATTTAGTATATGGACGCTAAAGGCCTCCAACTACCAACTATCATAAAGTAAACCGATGTGAAAAACTAAATCTATATTGCATCAATATAATACATGTACTTAATATATTCTTCAATAAGCTGAGCTATTAATCACAAAGCAACTGGGTATACACTACACTATATAATGAATACCATATAGTAAACCAATAAAAAACAAAATATAAGCTCCCTCAATGTTATCAATAAACTCTATATACTCTCCAATCAGCTGAGCCACCAACAATAAGTCGTTATATATCAATGCCATATGGCGAAAAATGGTGTTTTTTTCCCCTTCTCCTCAACGCCAGCACCACGGACAGCGACGTTCAGGCGGACGAGTCAATCCATGCTCGGAACGGAGGAGGGGGGAGAGGGAAACAACTACAATGCGCTGTTATACTCCATGTTATAAACCATACCATTAACCGTGGTGTGAGAGGTATTAAGAGGCAATGCCAGCGGTCTGACAGTCACCGTAAAATACAATTAATTAAGAACCGAAATGGTTTAAAACATCTTTCCAATGGTTACTAAGCCAGAATCTATCTTCTTGGTTGAAATTGTCTCTGTGCTTGTATATGTGGATGGCCTCATGAACGAATCTCTCATGGTAGCCAGTTGGCTTGCAAAGAACCTCCGTCTTGGAGAAGTCAATGTCATGTGAACCCACTGAATTATAACAGTGATCTGCCACGGCAGAAGAAGTCGTCCTACTGTGTTTCAAGTCTGCTTTATGTTCGCGGATGCGGTCCGAGATATGTCGTTTGGTTTCCCCAATGTAGTTGCTACCATAGAGGCACTTTAGTTTGTAAACGCCCGGGTACTGTATGTCTGGAACAGCATCTTTTACAGATGGAACCAGATCACGGATTTTATGTACTGTGTTGAATCGGACCTGGATCTTGTGTTTATTCAGGATTTTGGAGATCTTTTTAGTGACCCCTGCAATGTAGGGTAAGGTGATGGTTTTGAGTGGCTCCTCAAGAGGATCCTTTTTCATGACTGGAGTGATGGCTTTGCGGATTGTGTTGTCGGAGTAACCATTAGCCCTGAGAGCCTGGTGTACGTGCTTGAGTTCACGGCCAATGTGTTCGTGGGCGGAAATGCATTGGGCTCTATGGTATAGAGTCTTGATGAGAGAGTTCTTCTGGGATGGATGGTGGTGGGAATCCGGTTTCAAGTAAGCATCTGTATGGGTATCTTTTCTGTAGACAGAATGGCTCATTGAACCATCAGGTCTCCTTTTAATTAAGACATCCAAAAAGGGTAGCTTGCCATCTTTTTTTCGACCTCCATGGTAAATCTGATAGATGGGTGCATGGAATTGATGTGGTCGAGAAATTGGTCTAGAGCAGGCTGGCCATGTGGCCAGATGACAAAAGTGTCATCCACGTACCTCTTCCGTAAGGTCGGGCATAGAGTGGCAGTCTGGATGGCGTCAGTTTCAAATTTTTCCATGAATACATTGGCTACAACAGGAGACAGGGGGGAGCCCATTGGGGTGCCCTCAGTCTGTTTGTAGAAAGTTCCATTCCAGGTGAAGTATGTGTTGGTTAAGCAATGTCTCACCAGGGGGGTACATCAGTATGCAGTCCTTGATGAACCAAGTCTTCAATGATTGCGATGGTGTCAGGTACCGGAACTTTAGTGAATAAGGACACCACATCAAAACTAACAAGCAGGTCGTCTGGGGACAGGGAAATGCCTTTGATTGTCGATACCAGGTGAGTAGAATTTAGTACCGCAGAGGTGGTTTTTCCAGTGGAAGGTCGCAGTATATCAGCCAGAAAACATGCCAGTTTATAGGTGGGGAAGTTGAAAGTAGGGACGATGGGACGAAGGGGTGTATCTTCTTTGTGTATCTTTCGGGGGACATATAATCTTGGTGGTCTGGCAGCAGAGGGTTTTAACGAGAACTGTTTGGTCTGATCAATTAATGCTGTTGAATCAGCACCCGGGCGTTTACAAACTAAAGTGCCTCTGTGGTAGCAACTACATTGGGGAAACCAAACGACATATCTCGGACAGCATCCGCGAACATAAAGCAGACTTGAAACATGGTAGGACGAATTCTTCTGCCGTGGCAGATCACTGTTATAATTCAGTGGGTTCACATGACATTGACTTCTCCAAGATGGAGGTTCTTTGCAAGCCAACTGGCTACCATGAGAGATTCCTTCATGAGGCCATCCACATATACAAGCACAGAGACAATTTCAACCGAGAAGATGGAGTCTGGCTTAGTAACCATTGGAAATAAGTTTTAAACCATTTCAGCTCTTAATTAATTTTTTAATTAATTTACGGTGACCGTCAGACCGCAGCTCTTTCGCTGGCATTGCCTCTTAATACCTCTCACACCACGGTTAATGGTATGGTTTATAACATGGAGTATAACAGCGCATTGTAGCTGTTTCCCTCTCCCCCCTCCTCCATTCCGAGCATGGATTGACTCGTCCGCCTGGACGTCGCTGTCCGTGGTGCTGGCGTTGATGAGAAGGGGAAAAAACACAATTTTTCGCCATATGGCATTGATATATAACGACTTATTGTTGGTGGCTCAGCTGATTGGAGAGTATATAGAGTTTATTGATAACATTGAAGGAGCTTATATTTTGGTTTTTATTGGTTTACTATATGGTATTCATTATATAGTGTAGTGTATACCTAGTTGCTTTGTGAATAATAGCTCAGCTTATTGAAGAATATATTAAGTACATTTATTATATTTATGTAATATAGATTTAGTTTTTTCACATCGGTTTACTTTATGATAGTTGGTAGTTGGAAGCCTTTAGCGTCCATATACTAAATGCCTCTGTTGATATGTAAACTTCGACTTTAACACAGCTATTTCTGTCACAAGCTAATCCCTCAGCTATTTCAATGCTAAATTCTCCTGCTCTGATAGGTAAACTCCTTTGTCAAGGCTCTCCACGCCTCTCACCGAGCTTAAAAGATGCTACGAATCTTAACGGCGTTCATTCAAGCTCTGTCGTCCCGACAGTTCTGTTCTTTCACCTGAAGAAGGCTACTTGTGTTGTGGCCGAAACGTCTTGAGAATTTTATTGTCTTATTTTATTTTATTATTTTATTCTCATTCTACGTGACTTTACCGAAAGAACCAAGGAAGAGGGGTCAAAGATGTTAAAACACCAAGAGGCATACTCTGATCTAACACTGGTGAGACAACATGAGGTCTTCAGATGTCTGAAAGTCTTAAAACAACTCCTGTTGTATTATTGCCAGAAAGGGTAAAACCACATTTTTATTTTATATCATTTTGGATACTGGCAAAAAAAGGTCCCTTAGATATCTGGTATTGTGTTGAACTCGGTTACACTTTTGATACGTCTACTATTTACGCCTGAAGAAACATGCGAGAGTTTGGTCCATGGGAGAGGTGGCCAGTTCTGCTCCCCAACTCCATCCCACCGCCAGCATCACCCGGTGTCCCGCCCTGGCTCAGCTCACGCGGCATGCGGTTGTAGAGTGTCGGGTCGCAGTTGACGTCGTCCCCCGACTGCGCGTGCGCCACCGTGACGAGGAGGAGCACGAGCAGAGCCGCTCGCGTCACCTGCACCTAGGGGACACCAACGAAGCGCACACACAAGGACACGCGCACACGCACGCACGCGCGGCTTGCGATGCAGCACTGTGGGAGCGGTGGTTCCCAACTCCCCTTTTTTGGCTACTGGGAGCGCTTTAACAGGAGTTCAAGTATGGATCGTGTAGTGTTTGAGCTTTTTATCGTAAAAAAATACGTTGATTGTCGGTCAAGTATAGACAGTCCTCGACGTACGAACACGCGACTTACAAACACCGTACTTACGAACAAGCTTCCATGAAATATAGATTTTTAAAGTTTACTTAAAACACGAACTCGCACTTACAAACTGAACCGTGGAACTATTTTGTTCAGAAGAGCGATCCTTTGCAAGATGAAATGAGTCGGCTTCACACCGGGAGTGTTTGTGTGTGTGTGTGCGTGCACGTGTGTGTGTGAAAGTTCGGCAAAACAACCCCCTACCTCAGGGGTATCCAAACTACGGCCCGCGGGCCAACTGCGGCCCGCCATCCATTTTTAATTGTCCCGTATCAAAGTCTAAAAATATAATGGACTATGGCCCACTATATTGCACTTCTTAGTTTAAACACTAGGTGGCGCTATTGTCTTGAACAAGGCAGCGTCTCCACAAAGCAAGCAATCGAAGAAAAAATTTGCTCAGGGTCACCAGAAATGCCAGAACTGAAGAGACGCAAGATTGCAAGCGAGTGCAGAAAATTTCAGACTCGGTGGAAAAATGAATATTTTTTCATAGAAACCAAGGGGAAGTGTGTTTGTTTGATTTGTAATGAGAGTGTTGCCGTGATGAAAGAGTACAATGTACGACGGCATTATGAAACGAAACATCAGACCTTCACGTCCTACACTGGCGCCGAGCGGAAAGAGAAGGTAAAGCAAATGGCAGCGATCCTGCTAACGCAGCAGCAGGTTGTTTTCAGTGCTAACACAGCTCAAGAAAATGCAACAATAGCCAGTTATGATGTAGCTCAACTCATTGCCCTACACGGGAAACCTTTCTCAGACTGTGACTTCATCAAACAGTGCCTCACTAAAGTCGTGGGAATGATGTGCCCGGAGAAAATGCAGAATTTCAACGATGTTAGTATGTCCAGAAATACGGTTGTGCGGCAAATTGAATGCTTGTCGGCTAACTTAAAACAGCAAGTGTCAGATAAAGCTTGTGCTTTAGATTTTTACTCGATTGCATGTGATGAGAGCACTGATGCCACGGACACTGCACAGCTGTTAGTTTTTTTGAGGGGAGTTGATGATAATTTTTGCATTACGGAGGAACTGCTCAATCTTCGGAGTCTAAAGGGGACAACAACTGGGAAGGACATGTTTGAAGCTGTGTCAGATGCAATTGACCAGGCTGGACTGAAATGGGACAAGCTGTGTGGAATTACAACGGATGGGGCTCCAGCAATGACAGGCGAGCGCAAAGGAACGGCCTCTATGGTGAGTGCCAAGGTGCGGGAGAGCAGAGGTGAGGCTGTCAAAATGCTCTGCATCATCCACCAAGAAGCCCTCTGTGCCAAGTTAATCCAGCTTGGCGATGTGATGAACACAGTTGTGAAAACTGTCAACATAATTCGGGCACGAGGACTTTACCACAGAGAATTTCAAGCGTTCCTCTCTGATGTCGACGCTGAATACGGGGACCTACTCTACAATTCTGAAGTGCGCTGGCTCAGCCGCGGCTCCATGCTGCAGCGGTTTTTTTTCCCTGAGATCAAATATCGACAAGTTTTTGAAAGAAAAGGGCAGACCTCTCCATGAGATCAGTGACCCTTTATGGTTGGCAGACCTGGCTTTTTTAGTTGATCTCACTGATCATCTCAACACCCTGAACAGGAGACTACAAGGCAAACAGCAGTTAGTACCACAGCTGTATGCGCAAATGAAAGCATTCCGTGCGAAGCTCCGTCTCTTCGAGTCACAACTGCACAACTTCAATGTAGCGCACTTACCCACGCTGACCGAAATCAAATGGGAGAATATGTGTCTGTGATCACGTCTCTCATGACAGAATTCAGTTAGCACTTCCAAGATTTTCTGTCATTGAGAAGGAAATCACACTGTTTGCGGCTCCGTTTTCAATGGATGCAGGAGAAGTGGAGGAGAGTCTGCAATTAGAACTGATCGAAATTCAGTGTGATGATTCTCTGAAAAATCAGCATCAGCTTCTCTCCCTACCTGACTTCTACCGGAGCTTGGAAAAGGCCAAGTTTCCTCTGATGAGATGCCACGCAATACGAATGATGAGTCTGTTCGGCTCAACATACATCTGTGAGCAGATATTCTCTCTGTTAACGCTGAACAAAAGCAGACTGAGAACCAGAACGATCGACAGCAATCTCCGTGACGTCCTTCGCATCTCAACCACCAAACTTACCCTTGACCTGCCAGCTATCCTTCAGACCAAAGCGCAGCATCACTCCCACTGAGCGCAACATTATTCCCATTACAGGTGAGTTAAAAATATACACACAGTTTTCATTTGTTAATAAGCCCAATTACTAAATAAATTCAGTAAATTAAAGTTGATGACAATTTTTTAACAAACGTTAGTTGATGTGTTAACAAGCCCAATAATTTATTTGTGTAATAAGCTTGAAATATCCACATCCCCTATTTGTCTTCTTGTCTCTCCCTTCATACAGGACAATGAAGGGGGATCAGCACCCTAAGAACCAATCTGAGGCTCTCACAGAGAGAATAACCTGCCAACCTTTTTGTAAAAAAATAAAATGAAATCTACTAATGGAGAGCTATGATGGAAGCTTTTTTTCTTCAAACATGTTCAATTATCAAACGTAATTTACCTGCATTTGATTGATTTTCCCAATATTAGTGCATGAGAAGTGAGGCAGTATACATCACGTCTCGTGAGTGGCCCTGTCCTTCGTATATTTTTCTGTAAGTTTGGACACCCCTGCCCTACCTCCTCGCGGTGCCGGACGAGCAACGCTGTCGTGGACAGTGCTGTGGGGGGGAGGGCCAATTCCGATTGGCTTTTCCCTTCATGGCGTCTGTGACCACCACAGTGGCTAAATGGGGGCTCTGGATGGGTGCGAGGGGCTGGTAACCCCTCCACCTTCAATAAATTACCACTAAACCACGTGAAAAATATCTAATTAGTAAGCTTGTGCCAGAGGCTCCTGGCCAAAACCCCATCTGGCGGAGCCAGGAGATTGAATCTTAACCCTCGGGGCTACTCCAGAAACAACAAAAAGCCACTACGGATGGCCACGTGGAATGTTCGAACGCTCACTGCGGAGGAGAGGCTGCCACTCCTTAGTCAGGAGCTGGACCGGTACCGCCTGGATCTCTGTGGTATTCAGGAGGTCCAGATGATCGGCTCTGGCTCCTGCCATCATGAGGGGTGGACAGTCCTCTACTCGGGGAAGGAGACTGCCAAACAACAGGGTGTGGCTCTTCTTCTGAACAAAAGAATGAATGGGATGTGGGAGCATGGTAGTGAGGTGTGGGAAGCTGTAAGCCCCAGGCTACTTTAGGCTCGCCTTCCCATCAACCGGAGGCGAGGAGGGGTGGTCGTGATTACTTATGCCCCCACCGAAGACGAACATCCGTAGAGGGATGCAGGCAAGGCCGATGAGTCAGATGCCTTCTATGACCTCCTATCATAGGTGCTGGCTAAAGTGGCCCCTCGGGATAGAGTCATCTTGTTGGGCGACTTCAATGCCTGAGTTAGTCATGATGCTGGCACCTGGGGTGATTGGAAGGCATGGGCCAGATCAGCTCAATAACAACGTTAGGAGGCTGCTAGATTTTTGTGCAGCCCATGGGCTTGTAATTACCAACACACTGTTCCAGCATTGGCGCATCCACACAACATCATGGATGCATGCCGGGTCCAAGCAAGAACATCTGCTGGACTACATAGTGACGGACCAGCGGATGCGAGCCCATGTGCTTGACACCAGGACCTACCATGGAGCTGATCTGCCCTCTAACAATCGACTTGTCATCTGTAAGATGTGCCTGCCATTCTTCCACTCCGGCGGTGGATGTACACCCAGGACCCCATTCCAATCTGAGGTGGCCTGGTCTCAGCTAGCTGATGGAAGTTTCAAGCGAGAATTTCATCATCGCTTGCGGCTGGGGTTGGCATCGTCCCCCACTCCTCCTGATGTCGAGGGTAAATGGGCAAGGTTTAGGGCTGTGACTCATGCAGCTGCAATGGCTGTTTTGGGTTACACGGTCCAGACCTCCCCAGAGACTCTGGCTGACATAGGTGTTCAGGATGGTTGAGAAAAAGCGACAGGCCCACTCTCATCGGCTACAGCATCTCACGTCAGAGAATGAGGAGGCTTACCGCAGCCTTCGCTCGGAGGTTCGGAGAGCCATGAAGTGCTGCAAGGATGGGTGGTGGTCGCGGGTTGCTGAGGAAATGGAGTCTGCCTCAGTGGCCCGTAATCACAAATCCCTATTTAACGCCATCAAAAAAATAACCTGCAGCACCACACCTATTACCATCATTATGGGAAAAATGGTGATCCAATCTCCGACCCCCAGGAACAGGTTTGCAGATTTGCTAAGCATTTCTGTGAGGTCCTGGGGGAGGGGAAATCCCTCAGCCAGGAAAACATCGTGGCACAAAGTGGGGATGACCCTGCTGAGGCTGCGGTGCCTCAAATATTGGAAGAAGTCACCCCCTGTGAGTGGCTGGCTGACGTGCCATCTGTTGAGGAAGTACTGAAGACGATCCAGAGTCTGAGATCAGGAAAGGCACCGGGCAGAGATGATCTCCCAAGCGAAATGCTGAGAGAGGGTGGCGTTTGTGCACAGACTGCCCTACATGACATCATAACAACAGTCTGGACCACTGGACGGGTTCCGCAGGACTGGAAGGATGCTCTGGTGGTCCCCCTCTTTAAGAAGGAGGACCGCACAGACTGTAATAACTACAGGAGCATCTCACTCGTCAGTGTGCCGGGAAAGGTTCTGGCAAGGATAATTCAATATACCCTTGCTATGCACGCTGAGGAGAGGCTTGCGGAGCCCCAATGCGGTTTCAGGAAAGGGCGGTCCTGCACAGATGCCATATTTTGTGCGTCTGCTACAGCAGAGGTGTAGGG